CTGAGTACCTTTCAAGTTGATCCTGTAAAATGTACAGCTTCCACACCTAAGCCTGGTGCCATACACCAGACAATATAAGATCAACATTGAGGAGATAGTGTCCTTGCACATAATCAAAAGAATCTGCAACTCAAAGTTCAGAGGCTCATCTCGTTTTCTCAAGTTTGTTTCAACCAACTTTAAGATTTTGCTTTAAATGACAATTGTGAGCTCTCTAGAATTTGGCTCTCTTACTTATGCGTGTTATCACGATAGACCACTGAAGTGGCACGGACTCCTTGGCACACCTATAGTGAAAAGTAATCAGTGTACATCCAAAAATTCAGCTTGAAAGATTAAGCACTGAAGAAGGAACACATGGGAGCTCATTTTCCAGGTTGTGTTTCACCACTCATGATTGTTTTCTTCCGTATCCTTCCCAGCTTTACCAGTTACATTCATGCAGCAACAAAAAAAATAATCTTCTAGCAACACATCCAGTGCAGAGTTGTGTATAAATCAAAATTCGATTGTTTTAGTATCTGAACTCCATAAATTTCACACACAGGAGAGAAGCTGTATGCAAAAGGAAGACATTCTTCAATCACAGCCAGCCAATCAAGCCAGCGTAACACAAATGAAAATCCCCACTGCGTTACAGGCTGAAGAGCTATTCGTAATGACAATGTGGCCATCTACTCCTACCTTTGCTACAATGCAGCCAGATAAGGCATTATTCTGTGTCTTTAAAAGACCTTGCTATTGTGTTAAGTTAATTCAGCTGAGCTATAGCAAGTGTGAGAGAGGAATCACAGACTTCTGCCCATCCTGACAGAGCACAATGCTTTCTGCCATGAGTAGTCCCAAAGAAGTCACGCAGCATGCCAGGTACAAAGTAGTCGCAGAAGTGAGCCCTCAGACAGGGCTATAAAAGCTTTGGGTTAAGGAAGCACACGCCAACTTGCTTCTGCTTGATCTGCTACACAGCTTGACAGTAACAGATAGCCAGTTGCATTAGTGTCAATGTTCAGATAAGTTTCTCTCAATATCTGTCACAAAAAACAGACACAGTATCAGTGTGCCAGCTGTATTATCGGTCACTACATAGTTGATCATACTTAATAACATCCTCGAGCGCAGACGCAGCTAACAAGTAGCACAGACGGCAATTACTATTGTGTGCCACAGTCACCCAGATCGTTCTGACTCGGAGCTGCCAACGAGGTGCATTCGGCGAGTGCCTGCCTCCCACTTTCTCCCCCTCTCAAATACATTAACTCGCCTCAATATGGAGCCAGAGTTTGTTTTGAAACTCTTAACAGGATCACTGAAAGAAAAGAGGAAAAATACCATAAATGATCCTCTGGACTGTTTCCAGGGTAGCGTATTCTCTTAGCGATTGCTTTGGAAGCAAGCCAAAAGTGGGAAGTGTTCTTGCAAATGAGCACGCTACTATACTCAAGTACAAGTTATCATTTAATTCTTTTGTCAACATCAGCGCGGTTAGAAATTAAGGAGCCTGTTTAATAAACAGGTTACTTGAATTCCAGCTACCAAACACCAATTTCTTCTCTATCCATCCGCCCCCAGGCTCACTCAGCTCCTGTCCCCCAACATGCAATGTTTTCTTTCTTTAATACTTTCTCTCCTTTATTGAAAGTCAAATAAAATGAGTATATTAATTACATCCACCATGACTAGGACTATAATCAAGAACAAGTTAACTAAGAAAAGGAAAAAAGTCGGTCGCTCCAAAAAAACATTAAAAAACCTCAAAACATGCTTCTATGGGACACAGCACTTAATATTTTTAACAGAGCTTTAATACAGTCTACTGCATGGTTTTGTGGGGGCAGTTTTTCACATTATGATTACTCCTAATGAGATCACCCTCCGCAGTGTATAAGCCCTCATCCCTTCCCAACAGAACAATGAAAGATTTGTGCAAAGGCTACAAAGGCCTCAGATCAACTCCACTCACTTCACCCTGTACCAAATTTCCTCGTAAAATCTTGTCAAGAACACAATTGTGGTTTTTCCTGAGGACAAATTATTAATAATGAGGTACATCTACTTTTTTTTCAGGGTGCTCATAATCTTTTGTAGTTTGAAGTCCTCACACAGATGTCTCAGACTCCATGACTGCTGACAGCTGTATTTTTGAGATTCTGTAGGTTTCTCCTCTTCACAGATTTGTGGGGTTTTTTTTCCAGTTTTTGACTTACAACATTTCTCACCAACAAATGTCTGCCTATCTTATGATAAAAGTGTGGTGATATATAACTCCTTGTGTTATCTTATGATAAAAATGACAGACTGTGTATTAAGTGTGCATGAAAATACCTGTCTTTCAACAAACTGCCTATCCTTTTGATTTTACTGTAAGCAAAGACAATGAAATATCCTTTCTCACGCTAAGCAGAAATGTGTTACACATGTAGCCCCAGAGACAGCAATGCTAAGGGTAAGTATTACGCTGAGAATACAGGTAACTGAATCAGTCTGAACTAGAAAGTACAACTCAGTGGTCTCTGATTTGCTAGTATTTTAAACTAATCACTCACAGCAAGCCAAAAGTTTAGAGTTAGTTTTATGCAAAAAGGTATTGTAGAACAGAAAACATACTTTACCCTGGAAAGCTGATATTGTGTTTGAAAGATCTAAAATTATACTCTTGTGTCTGAATTTGTATGCACTTACGACGCAGAAATCTAACTTAATTTTTATTGTGTGTGTATTCTGCCCATTACTAACCACACCTCATTCTTCCTCAGTTTTAGTTTCCTTATAATTCTGTCACAGACCATGTGAAAGAACAAGTTGTTTAACTGCTCATATCCGAGATTATTAATGCACTGTTCTGTGATAGGTCTGACTTGCTCAGCAGGAGGTACAAGGAACATAAGCGGTTTAAAATGCTAATCCTGAATCTATATTTTTACTTCCTACAACTTTACATTTTCTTGTTTAAATTTTAAAATGCAGTACACAACTGCTGATTTCCATATCCAGAAGAGCTGACTGCTTTGGATCAGCCAGTGTGAAGTTTAGAGATTGAGAATCCAAAAACTTTAAAAGCAGACTGATGATGTATTTCTCTTGAAAAAATAAATAAAAAAAAAAAAAAGCTGGTAGAACACGACTTATAGCATACATATAACAGCAAGTTGTACATTTACTCACGTTCACACGTGTCTCCTTTTTGCTGGTATCCTGCTTTGCAGATACATTTTCCAATAGGCACTAACCATTCTCCCTCCGCGCTACAGTGCATCTTCGGCGAGTTCTCTGCCTCCTCCTCTGCACTGCTGACGCAAGTTCCTCGTACTTCAACTAAAGAGGAAAACTCTGAGCCAGTCACTGTGTCAGGAAAAATAGCTAAGTTCTCAATGATGGACCAGCACTTCTTGTAGTAGACTTTGACAGAGACCAAAGCAATGCAGGCCCCTACATCCTGAAACGCAAGATAGAATCCTTTTTTGGACAAAGGTCCAATTTCTCTCACCTCTGTGTTAAGTTTCATTTTCCTCTCCCCAAGATCACCCTGGGTAAAACTTTCATCTGCCGCAATAGTGTCTATTTTTACATATTGGTTTTCTCGGATATTCCTGCCAGTGTCGTAGTCTGTTTCATAATAATACAAGTTAAAAGTTTCTTTACAAGTCCCCAGAACTCCAGGAAGACTGTTACAATCCCTCAGAGTGAATTTCAGTTCTACAAAAATCCTTTGTGCATTGCTTTTTGCAATCCAGTTAGTCCGAAGCCAGTTGTTTTGGTTTGATTCCATCACCTGGCATACCTGGTATGTTCGGATAGGAGTGTAGTTTTCGTCCAGTCCACTAATTTCTTCCCACTAAAACAATAACAAACAGTTAGTAATACAAAACAAGTATGCCACCAGAGGTAACTACTGTCTATTTTTTGTGTATTACAGCTCAAGTCTACCTCCTTTTTAACAGTATAGCTTCATAAAAAAGTAGATTATTGTTAAAATAATCTTAAGCATCCAAACGAAGAAAATACATATTAACGCAGCTGCAGGCTCTCTCTCCCTCCCTGTCTTTCCCACATACAAATAACTTCTAAAAATCGTTGTCATATCATGGGCACCGGTGTAAAGGGGAAGCTACAGAGAAGGCTGTTCAGCATAGAGGTCAGATTACACACCGGGCTCTCCCACATTTCATTAAGGTCACGACAGTTTTGGGTAAGCAAAGACCAAAAGGAGGGAGGTAGTTTCACTTCCAGAGAAACCTAAACTCTGTGAAGTCTTGGACACCGAAATTGCCTAGCGTTACACTACATAAAACTTGTGTATATAAAATTTCTAGTGGAACTTCCAGTTGTACAGAAAGTATGGGACTGGGTCCTGGAACTTATGAGTCAGATGATATTCATTCCTATATGATGAAAGTGGCATAGACAGAGAGAAAGGGCAAGAGAAAAGGACACAATTAAAAATCTGAAAGCAAGAAAACATTTTGGTTGTTCCCTTTTTGTTCAGTCCACCTTCTGCTCTATTTACAAACCAGAAGAAGGTAAGTAGGAGCTCCTCACCCCACATTTTGTTCAGTGGCTGCATCTACGTTAAAAGGAGCAAACTTCATTTACTCAGGAGTTCAAATGAACCATGAGATTACATACATAATTAAGAACAACCCACATGACTGAAAGTTCACTGGTTCAAAGCCTGATTTTTGTTGTTGTTACCTCTTTATGATACCAACTGTGTAACAAACTGGTAAGCCTGTAACAGCCCCGTAGTCTTTTAACAGCCTTTGGTGGCGTGGGAATTTGCACCTCGGGCAATGGCAAACCTTCCACTGAAATCAGCCAGGCGGATCTGCCCAGGTGTAACCAAAACAATATCTGTTTCTCACCTTTTTTCACATCTCTTGGAACATTTAATTCACTGCAGAAACTACAGCTGTAATAAATTAGGGTGGTTTGTTTTGGGTTTTTTTTGAGCTATCCTCATCTGATGATATAGGCAACCATGACTTCCCCTGTATGGCACTTAGCCCTCTGGCCCCGTGTCAATAATGCACTTAAGCTCACGCTTAAGATCAGTGACAGTACTTATGAGCTTAATGGTAAGCATGTGCTTAAGTGCTTTGTGGGACTAGCATGCTCGGCACCTCTGCAGGATGGAGCACCCACTGACATTCCTTACACCGGTGACCAAGCGTGGAAGGCAGTGGTTTCCCAGACTAGCAGCCATGCAGCATACAGTCCTTTGCTAGACTATTTGACAGCAAATGAGATCATTCTAATGTTGGTCTACTGCTCCAAGAAAAAGCAGATGCGGCTGAAGTGATGCTGGAAGTCTTCACCACAAAATATATCACGACCGCAGATGCTGAAATGCACAGAAGTTGTAAGTATCAAAGCGCATTTCAAAGATCTACAGTGAATAGAGACGTGGTATGTATGGCATTATATATGCATATGGTATTAAAATATTGAAATATGTTATTAAATGCTCATGGAGTTAACTGAACTGATTGCATATGGATCTGTATTAATCTCAGAACAGAAGAAAGTCTATCTTCATAATAGATTTATTAGATCCGAATGAGTAAGATTTTTTTCCCCCTCTCTATAAGAGCTAGTACAAAAATAGGAAAAGAAAAAATGGGGCCCTGGACTGAGACTTTTGGCTCTGTCACATTGAAAAGCAAAAAAAACAAAAAAAAAAAAAAAAAAGAAAACACAAAAAAAACCCCAAACCACACAGATGACAAAAAAAAGGCATGAAACTTAAAATTCTACTGATTTTTACATTCTCTGTTTTACATTTGGTACTGTTAAGTTTTTTGTTGGTTTTCGGTTGGTTTGGGTTTTTTGTTTGTTTTATTTTTTATCTTGTGTAAGCAGTCCTCCCTCAAAACACCAAGCCAGATCCTGCAATGAGATATTCCAGTTAGAGGATGGATCGTATCTTTGAAGTGAAAGTAACTCTAATGCACCACACAAAAGAATCTGACTCCTCAGGTTTTGATGTGAACTGTTCCATAAAAACAAATCCCCATCCCCCCCTCAAAAAAAAAAACGAGACAGCAAAACAAGAAAAAACAACAAACAAACAAAATACATTTAACAAAATCAAACCATTTTTCATAATACAACACAAATGAGCCTTCTTGGAGTCAAACGCCCACTACATGAGGCTAGCTGGTATTAGCGAGATGCTGATGGTATAGTCAAGGAAAACAATACAAAACACTAAATTCAGATAAGAAGTCCTACTTTATGTTATCCCTAGCATTAAAAACTGAAGTCTATCTTTCCATATTTTACCAAAGCCATGGAATAAGATTGTCCTAAAAAAATTAAGGAAATATGACTTAGGATTCAATTCTGTAATCACAGAACTATTATTTCAAGTAGTCCATTGGAGGTGTACCTGCTTTTCCATGAGGAAAACAAAATAAAATATCAGTACTTCAGGATATGTTTTCACCTATGCCATCTGAGGTCATATTTTGTTAAAGTCTTTTTAAAGTGATTAATTCCATGATAGCTTTTACAGCAAGAAAATTCAACCTTTTTTTGTCCTGCTGCAAATTATGGTGATACACATGCAATTCTATTTGAATGTGTCCTGCTGTATTGGTTTTAATATTTGATATTTTAACTTTTTAGTTATCTTAACAATGTTTGAGATCGTTAGATGTAACATTTGCAGTTGAATGAGGCATTTAACAAGTGTCTGGCTGATAGATTCCGTACTCTGATGATGCAGTAGTTTCTCTCAAGAAGAAGATTTTCTGTGCTTATTCCCATGAAGTCTTTATTGCATAGTAGAAAATTCAATAATTAAAACCAGAAAAACACTTGTTTTCAAAATTACAATATTAAAATGGTACTTTTATGTTAATATACAGGCAACTATTTCTGAACGTTCTCATGCATATGAATCCAGTCATTAGTTTTGATTCACTTTTAACTCCTGATTGAAATTGGCTTCTACCTCTGAAAGTCGCCTTTTACTATTTGTTGAATTTGACTCTACTTTCATCTTTCAGTATGCTGACATGTGTAACATGTGTTGACATGTCTTTTATTATCTACAGGTTAGCCTAATATAATTGCCACCAAGCTAATCTTTCAAACACCTCTGGTAAAGGCTTCAATCAGTGCAAAACGCTAATGCCGAGGTTATTAGCCATCATACGCCTGGAGCTCGCGTTACATTCTTTCTGAAGTCCTTAAATTCGTTTCCAGTTTATGCTTGTATTGATTTTACGATCTTGCTTTTAAAGAAAGACACTTTCAGATTTTCATTCTTCTTATTTAAAGGATTTGTTACACTTTTATATCCCCACTCACACTTCACGCTCTCCTGGCTCCAGATTTCTTAATGCGCTGAAGATTAAGGGCCTGATCCCCCAAGACCCTGTTCATGCAAGGAGTCGCGATGGATTCAGCAAGATTGCTTCCATGAGTAAGAACTGTCCCTATAATTTATGATTTTTCAGACTGAGTTAAGGTAGGACTGAGCTAAGGTAGGACAATATACCCGTTAGATCTTTCTGAAAATGTTCTTCCTCAAGGCTTGAGAAAGAAGGGTTTTTTATATCACTTTTAATTCAGACTGAAAGCAGCATTTCTCAGCTTTACGTGTATAATAAATAAGACCATAACAACAATGTTTCTAAACTTCTCATTTTTTTTATAACGATGTACTTTACAATGGTACATTTCATGGAGTATCATGAGATTAATTTGTAAGCAAGCTGGAGGTGGCCTTAACCACATAATTGGTGCCTAGTTCCAGATATCCAGCTCCTCAAGACTTGGGGATGCTTCAAGTTTGGAATGTCATTTCAAACACATCTGCAGTATAAATGTTTTTATTTTAGAGCACTTCAATCTGTGCTATTCAATTACAAAGAAAACATCGTAAACAAATTTATGATCACCCATTATACTGAAAATGAAAAACATATTTTTAGAAAGTTTCCACACAGAAGTAAGGCTGCTGTTTCTAAAGGAAGAAGGAAAAAGTGATTTAAAATATTGTGTTATAAATACACAGAGCTTTCTGATAGAGCACAAAGGATTATGCTACAAAACACAAAGCTACCGAGAACGTTTAGGTGAGTTTCTAAAGAGACTCCTCCTTTTAATTAGTTCGTACATTTGTACACTCTAACCTGAAGTACACTTCTTTCTATTCTAAAAATGAAAAAGCTGTAAACACTTAGTACTATAACTGAGAGAAATACGAGGGGGAGCTAGTTTAAAGCAAGTCTTTCAATTGCTTTGGTAAGATAAGTGCTCATCTTTAGGAACTTAATTTTTGCCTGGAGTACTTACCCCATTGGGAGGAGAGGAAATCCATTCCAACTCTGTCTGTTGTGCTTTAGAGTCCAGCAATATTACTAAAAAAAGAAAAAAACGAGAATTTCCACTGTTTGTTAAATACAGTAAGTGGGAATATCAAACCAAAGTCTGAATTAAAAAAAAAAAGTTATAAAAAGAATGCATTTTTTGTACAAATTAGTATTTTTTCCTTCATATTATAAAAAAAAAAAAATCTGCAACCACAATTCTCTGCATTTACTTGGAAATAGATTATTAAATGATTATGTACCATACACATATAAGTAGATATACATCATTCTTAATAATTTCATTGCTTAAATCAAAGCATATTGTTTTTCTTAGTGCTCTAAAGTGTTACCAATCTGTCATTAAGATGCATGCTTCATCTTCTCCTTTGTCTTAAGAAGGACATTTCCCATGTGCTGGTTATTACAATGAGCTTAAAACAAACAAATACACACCAACATTTCAACACTTTTCCAAACTGATTTAGACAGGACTTGTCTATACCTTACTGGGAGTCGCATTGCAAAAGTAATGGCCTTTTTCAGTTTGAAAGTAAAAAATACATCCCTTGGGTGATAAAGCAGTAATTCTGTAAACAAATGACAACCAGAAATCCAGAAAATAAAAGGCTCTGCAATTACCTCACACTTTGCATACACAAAATACTACATACACAAAATCAGACTAATTCACTTTATGGTAATGGCTTACTAAAATCTTCATGTCATTATACCCCAGTGACACTTCTATACAAAAAGACATCAGTTCTAGTAGCACTGCAATTATTCTCAGCTAAATGTAACCCCGTCTCTGAAAGTGGTTAATCACAGCCTAATAAACCAACTCTTACATATTTTACAGCACATATTGACGGTTGTATTACTGATGTGCTGTTACCTCCAAACATACATTTCTATGTCTTACATTTCCGTTATAGCTATATGCTTCTTTCTTATTGTAAGTTGCTGTAAGACATTCAAATAGTACATATGTTAATCTGTGATATCAAAAAGTTAAATAATTTGCCATGACAGCTTCTTTCAAACAGTCAAAGCTGTAGAATGATCAACCATATATCTAGGTTTTGTAAACTTTGAAGATTCCTTCTTCAAAGCTACACATTTAACTTCATACTTCTGTCTGATTAAATAAAAAGTAACATTTCTAATTTAAATCTATTCAATATATTTTTAGCTATAAAGCTATTTATAACTTTCTACACAGCATTTAAGTACTGATATTTCAATGTACGATTTAAGGCTGTAACCTGAAGCAACTTTTGTCGGGTCTTTTGAAATAGTTATAATTCTGGCTTCGGCCCTTTCTCCTAGTAGAATTTAGGATGAAATTTCAGTGGATTACTAGAAAGATGAAATGACTAAAAAAAGTTATTTAAAGGTTCATACAGTAACAGCTGAACACAAAACGGTAGCTTCCAGGCCTGTATTTCAGTAATAAAGTGGAACTACTCATTAAGGAAGTTTGATAGTCTCTCCCTAGAAAAGATTACCTGCTTATTTCATTAAGCTTGGATTCAATGGGCTTTACTTTGTGACACTTTCTATAGAAAAGCAGGTGGTGTACGCGGTGGTTTTTTAAACAAGAACATTTATAGTGGTCCTGGAAAAAAAAAAAAAACAAAACAAAAAAAACAAAACACAACAGACCACATACCACGAAGAATTTAACCTTTTCAGCACCTGCGCGATGTCCCGTGGCTGCAGTTCATGATATGTTTTATTTGGCAGCAATTCCCCATCACATAGTAACCGGCGGGCTCATCCCAGAATGCAAAGACAACAAGCAAACAAACAAACAAACAAACAGAACCCCCCTGCTCTGCAAACACCCTTTGCAAAGAAAACGTGGCGTTTCCCTCTGGCACCGAAAGTTACCGGGGAACAAATTCCCAGGCCGGTGGCCGGTGCGCTGCCCCAAGCCCGGGTTGTGCAGCGATGCGGAGAGGGGGAGGCGGACGGTGCCGTGCTCCGCGCACCCCGCCGCCGGCCTCCGCGGGGGCGCAGCGGGCCGCGCTCCGCGCTAAGGGGAGACGG